AAACGCTACTTCCTCAGAGAACCTTTGCCCAGGTCTGCCAGACTGAGTCAGGTACCTCATCCTATGCTCTCAGAAAAATGGGGATAATGGTAATATACTAAAAGCCTTCTCAGAACTCCCTGGAGTGTTCCTTGTGTGCCCTCGTCCCGGTTTGTGATTTTTCACATGCTCGTGTGATTATCATTTCAAGTCAACCCCCACTCTGCCGTAAACGCCTTGACGGCAAGGACCTGTCTGTCTGCTTGGCTCACTGCTGTACCCCCACACTCGGATCCTTGCCTGTCCATCATCTTGTAGAGGCTCGACAGATATTTCTTAAATAAACAAATAAGGAAATGGATGAATGAATCCCTCTCTTCACTCATCAGTTGCTTCCTATATCTATCTAGCGGATTCTTTAAAAGCAAAAAGTCAAAAGCCAGGCTGCCCGGGTTCGGACCCCAGCTTTCACTTGTGTGACTTATTCAATCCTTCTGTGGGTCTCTTTATCTATAACAGGGAGGGTAATAATAATACACAGTACTTAACAAGGTCGTTGTGAGGATATATGTAAAGTGTGTAGAACAAGGCCTGGCATTCGAGGGCTACATTAGTAATAGCTATTATTCTTATTCTGCCTCATCCATCTCTCCATTTCCCCATTCTGAACTCCCCCGTAAGACCTCATTATCTTATTTCCGGTCTATGAGTGTGGGTGACTCAGTGTAATTTGCAGAATAGATAGCAAAGGTTTTTTAAATTTGTTATTATGGAAAATTTCAAACATGAAGAGAAGTAGAGAGAAGAGGATAATGAACCTCTGTTATGAGCTTCAACAATTATCAACATTTTGCCAATCTATGTTCATCTGTTCCCTCCTCATTTTTCTCCCTACTGGAGTATTTTAATGTAAATCCCAGATGTCATATTTTCTCTGAAAATACACCATTATGTATCTCTAGCAGATAAGGACTTAAAAAAATACAATACCATTACTGCACTTAAAAAATTAACAGTAATTAGGGCAGGCTTTTCAAATCCCATCCCCTTGAGAGAAGCTGGGGGAAGGGAGCCTCGCTTCAGGGTCCGACAACACAAATGGGATATAGTAGCAACTAGAATTTCGATTCTCTTTCATTCTCTCCATTTATCCACTCTAAATCTCCCCCAACTTCTCTCTTATTTCCGGTCTGCGGTCTGCGGATGCGTGTGACCATTTATTTACAAAGGGGGACTAGGAGCCCAGGGTGGTGAGTTTCCTGGGTCATTGGTGCCCTGGGGTGGGGTGGGGACTCCAGGAGGCTCTGAGAAGGCAGCAAGGAAGGGCTGTGGGAAGAGAAAGAGAGAGCTGGAGGAGTTAGTGGGTTTAAAGAAGAGGGCTGTGTGAAAATGGCATCCAAGGAAAATCCAGCGGCCTAAAGGCAGGCAAGCGAGAGGTTGGTTCTTTCTTCCCAGTGATCAGGGCCTTTGCCAGCCAGGAGCAGGGAGGCGGTAGCCCTGCTCCTGAGGGAGTTCCTTTCAGCTTTTCTCCGCGGCCCACAGATGGGCAGCTGTGTAAGACAGCAACCAGGGTTCTGCTCTGCTTCATCTTCAGTTCTCAACAGTTCCAAGGATGTAAGTGATGACGGCGGATCCTGAGCCAAAGCGCAACTAAAGCCGGGCTTCTTCAGACTCAAGACGAAGATTACCGTGCTCCCATCTCTCTTTCCTTTCCTGTGGAATTCTCCCCACCAGCCCTTCTTCTCAGCACACTCATCCTTTGGGCGCCCATGGCACCTGCGCCCTCGACCTGCCCCAATCCCGCTCCCACTCCAGGAGAAGTGACTGCAGCAGGGTCAGCAAGCGCCTTCAAACTGGTCTCCAGCCACCTCATCGACCTTATTCTCCATCGCTTCTCCCTTCTTTCCAGCAACGGGCAGTAGCACACGATAAATGGGCACAGATTTGCGTCCATATAGAACTGGTATTTAATTCTGGCTCAGCCACTTCCCAGCTCTGAAACCTTAGGCAAAGTCGCTTTATTTCTCTGAGCCTCAGTTTCTATGTCTGAAAAATGGGGATAATGGCAACATTCTAAAAGGCCTCTTGAGAGAGGGCCTGAAGCCATATGAACATATGACTTAAGGTCATATAAACCAGGAAAATAGCCCATCTTCCTTGACGGTCTTTAATGCCTAATGGTCTATGAAATTTCCAAAAGGTTAAAATCCTCTGGACAGATGGTATGCATATGACCGGGCCAATAGGTGACTTTTCAAATACTGAATGTTAATTAGTGCCTTAATTAATCTTAATGTCCATGTTCTTAGTAGTATACGAACAAGGACAATTTTTGTCTCACAACCACCTTAGCGACACCGAAACAAACCATGAAACTCCATCTCCACGTTCCCAAATCCCTGAGCTCTGCCTTTAAAAATATGACTGCATCTCAGTCGGAGCTTCTTTAGAAATGGTGACCATAACGACTGTGCTACTGATTTCTTAAACGAGAGCTTCGCCTTTGGTTCTTAAAGACCCTTCTTCAACGTGAGTTTAAGTTACGGGGACTATGACTCCCAGGGTATTTGAATTCAAAGCTTGCTCAGTGCCAGGCGTTGGCGAGCAAGGAAGGGAGGCTATTTGGAGTGCAGGCTGTGGAGGAGGTCTCTAGTGGCTAGTAAAAAAAATCACTGAGATCATATCATGCAGTCTGCTAACTCACGAGGATCACACACGCACACGCACGGATTCGCCTGTGCATGATTTGCATTGGATTGAAAATACTAGAGGCCCGCCCACCCCCCCCCCCCCCGCCGCGGGATCCGGACCGCCTCTTATGTGACACAGGCTGTTGATCAGCGCAGGCGCAGGACCTTCGTGGGCGGGGCCCGGGCGGTGGCGCAGGAGCGCGCTGCTGCTGATTGGACAGCTTGGAGGCTGACGGTTGGCGCGTCCCGCTTCATGCGCACAGCGCATGCGCAGGGCGGGAGCGAGCGAAATTCAATCCTCCGCCGAGATAAATTGGAGGCCAAGCTGCCGGGTCATGGAGGTGTCCCGGGGTTTAGCGGAAGCCCAGGTCTTAAGCCCAGAGCAGGCTGCCCGTTACCTGAGGTATGTCTGGGCCGCTGGGCGGGTCCAGCCGCTGGCCCTGGCCGGGAGTGGGTTTGGGGGCCCTCGGACCCTCGCAGCGGCCCAAAACGCTGAGGCGGAGCCTTGTGAGACACGCGCCCGCGTTCTCCGAGTAGGCCCTGGGAATCCCCTCAGATTTCTCGAGTCGGGGGATCCCCCGATGCCCCCTTTCACGGCCACATAACTCTGTTATGAACTCCTTAAGAGCCAGAACTTTCTCGAGTCTTTCCAGCCTTCTAAGCCCCAGGCTTAGGGAGGGGATGGAGATGAGTAAATCATTGCTTATGATTGCTGATCGCTTTTGATCTCGCGCTGGACAGGGCTAGGCTAGGTAAACATAATGTTACAGAAGTGCCGTTAAGACGTATAGAGTGCAAGGCCTGGTGTGGGCACGAACGACCCAATGGCCAGTTTCAAGGGTCGGTGAGCTAAGGGAAGGCCTCCCAAGAGGAAGAGACATTTGTGTATTTGCGTTGAGACGTGAGTGAGGAAGCATTCGCCAGATGTCTGGGTGAGGGGCAGAGTGATGTGGGAATTAAAATTGTGATAAAATGCACACAACATAAAATGTACCATCGTCACCATTCCTAAGTGGCCGTACACACATTCACATTGTCCACCCATCACCATCCATCCATCCATCGTGCAGAACTAAAACCCTGGACCTGTTAACAGCTGCTCAGTTCCCCCTCCCTCACCCCTGGCAGCCATCATTCTACTTTCTGACTGTGATTCTGACTCCTCTAGGGACCCCACGTAGGTGCGATCATACAGTATTTGTCTTTTTGTGACCGGGTTATTTCACTTAGCATAATGTCCCCAAGGTTCATCCATGTCGTGTTACGTGACAGGATTTCCTTCCTTCTTAAGGCCGAATAAATAATATTCCATCGTATCCACATATCACATTTTGTTGCTTCATTGATGGACACTTGGGTCGCTTGCTTCCGTCCCTTGACTATTAAGTGCTCTTGTGAACATGGCTGCGCAGATATCTCTTTAGGATCCCACTTTCAGTTCTTTTCAATAAAAATCCAGAAGCGGGGTTGCGGGGTCATATGGTAGTTCTATTTTTAATTTCTTGGAGGACTGCTGCGCTGTCTTCTAGAGAAGCTGCACCCGTTAGCGTTCCCACCAACAGGGCACGAGGCTTCCAGTTTCTCCACGTCCTCGCCAACACTTGTCATTTTCTCTTTTGTTGCTGTTAGCCATCCTAAGGATGGTGAGGTGGTATCTCATTGGGCTTTCGATTTGCATTTCTCTAATGATTAGTGATATCGAGCATTTGATCACGTACCTGTTGCCCATTCGTTGGAGAGATGTGTATTCCAGTCCTTTGCCTATTTTTCAGTTGGGTAGTTGGTTTTTGTTGTCGTTGAGTTGTAGTTCTTTATATATTCTGGATATTAACCCCTTATCCGATATGCGATCTGCAGATATTCTCTCCCATTCTGTAGCTTGCCTTTTAACTCTTGGTCGTGTCCTTTAATACGTAGGAGCTTTAACTTGTGATGTAGTACAAAGAAATAAATTGGGGCATTGAATAGTTCTGTCTCCCTTTTCAAAAAAAATGTTTAAGGCTGTTGAAAGCCAAAAGGTCTCCTTACTGAGGGGTAAAAGTACATTTTTGGACCGTCACATGACTTCCTTATGGAAGACTTGGGGAAAGCAGAGGGAGGCCAGGCGGTACGGTAGAGTGCCGGCTTTGGGGTTGGGCCATTTGGGATTCAGATTTTGGCTCTGCCACTTGCTGGCTGGGAGACCTCAAGCAAGTCACTTGACTTTTCTGAACCTCAATTTTTTTTCATCTGGAAAATGGTGATAACGAAGCTTAAGTCCTTCAGTCCCTTTGGCCGCTTCCCCCCAAGCAGGCGGCCCTCTGACTTGCACCTGCTCCCCAGTGCCGCCTCTCAGCTGGCAAGCGTCTCTCTGTCATTCCCTTCAGCTGTCACCCCTTTCTCTCACAGTCATCTTCAGCCCCCACCTTCCTTTCAGTGTCCCTGTCTCCCACGACGCCCCATCTCACGACCCCTCGTCTGTCATAATTCCTTCTCTGTTTCTCCTAATCCTTCTCAGTCTGCCCAGCCCTCTGCCAGGTCCCCCTTGCACAGTAAGCCTCGCCTTCTCTACCTTCTCTACCTCTCGTAATTCTCCCTCGGCCCGGTCTCGCTGTCAGATGACGTCTCCGTCTCCTTCCTCCTTCTGTCCCCTTTCCGTCCGTCTCCCTACCTGTCTGTCTGCCTCTCCTGCCTAAGAGCTCAAAGGAAACTCTGAAACTTGCTGTCACACACTCTGCGTAACTGTTTTCGTTTTCGCACACCGTCATCTTCTGTCACATATGATGACTGTGACACACTCTCCCTTGGGGATGCCTACCCACCAGCTCCTGTCCTGACTTCAGTCTCATTCACTCTGATGCCCCCCATTGTCCGTTCTCTGGAATTATGTCTCTTCCTCCCTCTGTCTCTGTCTGTCAGTCATTATCTCTCCCTTTGTGTCACCCACCTCTGTCACCCACTTTCCCTCTCTGGCACTCCTGTCCTCTCTCGCTCTCTGCCATTGTCTCTCCGTCGCCCACCTCTCCGTCACACACCTGTTCGCACCGTCATCCGCCCGCACACACGGTCGTCTGTGGTCTTTCCGCGTCTTTGTGTCTCGGTCATCCTCCCCACTCTGTACCTCTGTCACCCACGATCTCTGTCACTCACTCTCTACGACCCATTCTCTCTATCACCCAGCCTTTCCCTGTCACCCACTTTTCTTCCTGTCACCCACTCTCTCATTTTGTCCCTTACCCTCTTTTTTCTCTCCCTGTATCATTCTGGGTCCAATCAGGAGGTAGGAGCCAAACAGTGTATTAAAACACGCATTTTAATGTAAAGAATTATTAAACTGATGAACGAGTAGAAAAAAGGAAGCTGCATTCTGGGACCCTGGGGCCGGGGGTACCCAAGGGAAAACAGACTTGGAAGGGGCCCTCTGTCCAGGGCCCGAGGCTCAGACCTCTGTGGAGGGCGTGTGGTCCTGCCCGCTGGATGGCAGAAGGGTGTGCTGGCCGGCCGGCCCAGGTGGGAGCTGCGCTGCGTCCCCCAGGCCAACAGGAAGCGACCTTCCAGAGTGCGAGTGGGGAGCAGGCTGTCGGCCACCGCGGCTGAGGTGTGCAGAAAAGGTGGAGGCCCGAGGAGCTGGTTCCCACATAGTGGGGGCTGCAAGGTCATCTCCAGGCAGGCGCAGGCTCCAAGGTCACCGAGGGACTGCGTGTCCTGGCTGTGGCTGCGGACCACTTCGCCGGACTGTGCGGCAGCGGTGGCTTCGGGAGAGCCCCTTCCTCCTGCGGTGTCCCTCAGGCGCCCTCTGCTGAGAAAGCTCAACAGCGTGCTGGCGGGAAAGGAATTCGGTTCCTTCCAGGACAGCTGTCGGTGCATTTGGACCTGAGAGGCAACGGATGATGACTGGCAGTCACCCGCCCTCTCTCCTGTGTTGCCCACCTTTTCTCTGTGTCACTCACTGTGTCACCGTCTCTTTCCATCACCCACTTGCTTGTACTCTATGTCGTCCACTCTGTCTCGTCACCCGTCTGCTCTCTTTTTCTATTCTCTATGTCACCTACTTTGTCTTACTACTCTGTTCAGGCTGCTTTTGTCAAGGTCACCAAGGAATTTTGTAGAACAAAATCTAATGGGCAGTTTGCAGTCCTCACCTTCCTCGGCCTCCCGGCAGTATTTGATCACAAGCGGGTCCCTTCCCCGGGAGACACTGGCTTCATTCGTAACAAAATAAGCTAATTCTTTGATATCAACTAATACACAGCCTATATTTAATTTTTTCAAATGGTCTTAAGTCTTTTTATAATTGGTTGGTTGGAATTAGGATCCAAAGAAGGTCCACACTCTGCATTTGATTATATTTCTTAAGCCTTTTTTTAATCTAGAACGATCCCTCCACACCTTCTGCTTTCGTTTCTATGCCAAACATTTGGATTAGTCCGATGTCTGCCTTGTAGTGTCATTAGCTCGTTCTCATATCTCCTGTGATTTAAACTTAAAGGTTTGATGAATGAATAAGGAAAATGTGGCACGTATACACAATGGAATATTCTTCAGCCATAAAAAAGAAGGAAATCTCGCTATTCCTGACAACATGGATGGACCTCGAGGACATTATGCTAAGTGAGATAAGTCAGACAGAAAGACACACACCTTCTGATCTCACTTATATGTGGAATCTGAGAACAAAACCCACCACACTCATAGATACAGAGAACAGATTGGTGGTCACCAGAGGAGTGGGGTGGGGTGTATGGGGTCAAAAGGTACAACTTCCAGTTATAACATAAACAAGTCATAGGACTGTGACGTATGGCAGGAGGGCTATGGTGATAACTGTACTGCATATTTGAAAGTTATTAAGAGAGTAAATCTTAAAAGTTCATCACAAGAAACAAATTTTGTAACTATTAAGGTGATGGCGGGTAACTAGACTGAGTGTGGTGATCTTTTCACAGTGTATACGAATATCGAGTCATTATGTTGTATACCTGAAGCTAATATAGTGTCGTGTGTCAGTTATACCTCAATAACAAATTAACAAGAAGCTATTGTAGAGGGAAAAAAAAGATTAAGATTCAGTATTGTTGGCACAAATACTTTGTAGTGGAGGCCATGTACTTGATGTTACATCATATCGAGAAGCATATAATGTCCAATTTTCCTACTTATAATAATGTTAAGACTGACCGGGGGTTCAGGTGGTCATAGACCGATCACTCCTTGGCAGAGCTGAGTTTTACCCTTTATGATGGATAAATTGTCGGAGATGCTTCAGCCTAACGTGAATACACGTTCCCCATCAACCTTTCATCCATTGGTACTCACCACCCAAATCCGTTAATTCATTAGGGATTACAAAGTGGGGTTGTCTCATTTCCCCATTCTTTCTGTATTCGTTAGCTGGAATTCTGCAAATGTTCTTAATGTCGGGTG